CCATTAAATAAAACCATAATATTTTTTCCGGCACCTTGTGCCCACATATTTCTGTCTCACATTGCACAACAATATTCTCATGTTACTCAGTTCATAGGTTCCATAACCCAATACAAAAGAATGTTCAAGAAGCCTCATTCACTTAACATAAAGTAGAGTACAACTTCCAACCCAATTAGAAAATCAACAAGAAAAGATGAAGTTATTTTTAGAAATATTGGATAAAGAAAATACCCTTTTCAATTAAAGTACAATATCGAATGAATCATTACCTTTAATATGAGAAATCAATAAAGCAAAACATAGTAGAAATTCCCTTTTTAAGTAAAGTACAACCTCAAACGGTTTAAGGGGATATAATTGAGAAACTAATTGAATTAAGGATGTAACAATTATTGAAGTTTGAAGTACCGGAACGTATAAATAAATATATATAAATACGGTGAGGTATTAAAAACATTGTGGGTTCTAACACAAAGGATCACAACAATAAAGGAGATAAACAATTTAAACATTTGAATTGATAACAATAAATAAACACAGCAACAGAAAATGCACGGCATCACCCGTCATGCTTTTACTCTCGTTCTCACCATAAAAACAATAGTCACTTTTATTATTTCTTGTTACGGCGTGCAACCCGATCCCAATTATATATTACTGTTGTGGCGTGCAACCCGATCCAAAACATATAATATTATGATATTGCGGCGTGCAACCCGATCCAAAACATATAATATTATGATATTGCGGCGTGCAACCCGATCCATATAATATTGTTGCGGCTTGCAACCCGATCCATATAATATTCAAATTAACACCAATCACAAAAGAATCACGGCAAGGGAAACAATATCATAAGCAATCAAATTTCGGCAGGGGAAACAACATCAAAACCAAAACATCCCGGCAAGGGAGACAATATCATGGTTCTCCCTCTCCTTTCTTCTTTCACGTTTACTTTACAACTCAACTCACAACTTGAGTCAATGCTCTACAATGTTCAACAATTCAATAATACTTCCACAAGTCATATTCCTTAATAGAAATTATCATATAGAGCATATACAATACGAAACAGAGTCACATTAATCAAAGTATAAGACTCACGGACATGCTTGACACCAACGTATAGATACTCGTCATCATGCCTATATGTCGTACTCAACAAATAACACATAATAATTAGGACACAACTCCTAATCCCTCAAGCTAAGTTTAGACCAAACACTTACCTCGCTTTGCAACCAATTCAAAATTCCAACAAGCCTTTGCCTCGCGAATTCGTGCCCGAAATTCTCAAACCTAGTCATAAACAATCAAAATACTCAACACAAATTGTAGGAACTAATTCTATATGAATTTACAAATTTTTCGAATTAAAATCCGAAATTTAGCTCAAAAATTGCCCGTGGGGCCCATGTCTCGAAATCCGACGAAACTCATAAAATCCGACAACCCATTCCGATACGAGTTCAACCATACAAAAATTATCGAATTCCGATTTCAAATGGACCTTCAAATTCTAAATTTTCATTTTTGAAAAGTTTTACAAAAACTACAATTTATTTTATCCAAATCCGAAATAAACGATGAATATTGATATAAATTTATGAAATGTAATCACTTCCGGATATAGAACACTTACCCAAGTCGAAATCGTGAAAAACTCCTTTGAAATCGCCCAAATCCGAGCTTGAATGACCAAAAATGAAAGAAATCTCGGAGCCCTTCGATTTTTACACTGTCCATGGGTATTATGGGGATTTTACGTTGCCGCGCTCCTGCCGCGTTCACAGGCAGAAAACTTCTAATTCGCTGCGGTCGCGGCGCGGCCGCGCGTCTGGGCGGGCTTATGACACATGTCCGGTAAAATGGTCATAACTTTCTGTATACACTTCCAAATGACGAAAGGTTTGATTTTCGAGAAACTAGACTCAAAGATCTTTAATTTGATAGGCTGTGTATCACGCAAATTGTTATATCCATGTAGATATACTCGTCCAAAGTGAGGACTTGTGCGTACTTATTTGCAAATTTTGTATATTATGTAATTTTCCAACTTGGCTTAGATTTAGAACTTTCCTTAGACCCCATATATCTTATAGTACGCCTCGTGCACTTGCTATCATATCAATTCGTATCCATCATGGTAATAGACCTCTTCCACATATAAGATAATATAATTAGAACACGTCAACTTTCTTATTTCGCCGAAATGCGCCGAATTGTCCTGTGGACTTCCAAATCCAAATTCGGACACACGTCTAAGTCCGAAATCACCATACGAAGTTATTGACATCATTAAAATTCCATTTTGGGGTCGTTTACTCAAAAGTCAACTCTCCGGTCAACTCTTTCCATTTGAGCTTCAAAAATAAGATTTTGTATTTCTTTAAATTTAACTTCGAATCTTACGAAAATCAAACTCGACCATACATGTGGGTCATGATGCATATTACGAAACTTCTCAAGGTCTTAAGCCGTTGAACGGAAACGTGAATTCTTAGAACGAAAATTCGGGTCGTTACAAATTGGGCGAACGACATTTCGCTAAGGCTAGCTTTGGGGTACGCGTTTTGCGCGTGTATTCCATTTATGTTTTCCTTAGAGTTTTGCATTTTTAACTATTTTGTATCTTAATATCATATTACGATTTCTTTCATCGCAATGCTATTCTTTTAGAAACAAATTATATATCGTAAGAGCGTATTTTAAATATATTTTTACTTATAAGATGAACTTAGAAAATAACTGAATTGATTTTTTGCTAATTACTTAATTCTTATACTTAATATTTGATCTCAATATTAAAGAATTTTTTTTGTTAATTTGAATTCTTAATATTAGTCCATCTCAAGTTTAACTATTTAACTGTAATTATAGTTTTAGCACAAAAACTAATGAACAGAAAATAATTATTCTCGTACAAACTTAATGTGGCCTCAAAATTCAATCATCTTACATGTGATGCCAATTAATAATGTACAACATAAAACAAAATCGCCCTATAAGAAAATAATTAGCTTCAGATAAATAAAAGCATTAAAAATTATGTTTAATTACTTGTATAATAGATCAAATATATAATTGATATAATATAGATGAATAATATTTTTTTTCATTATATAGAAGAAAATGTTAATATGATAAAGTTACTTTTTAAAATTATATATGAATTACTATTTAGAATTTTGAAGTAAATTGGAAATTTGTGACTTTAACTTTTCTATAATTACTCAGCTTAACGGATAAGCTAATGCCCAATTACTTGGAATCATTTAAATCACAAATTCGGATGTGTTCCATGTTGTTATATAATTGTGCTTCGAGAATGTACTACTATTTCATGTGTTTTAGAGTAAAAAAATTAGTATATCTTAACGTGTATTTATTATTGGAAACAATTAAAAACTCCCTATTTTATAATATATATATATATAGCAACCTCCACAAACTCCTCCCTAAATATTAGGATTTATAACGTAGTTCAATAAGGAAAATAGTTAATAACTAAAATTTAATTGAATTTAAAGTCCTAAATATTAGGAAATCTACGTAGTTCAATAAGGAAAATAGTTAATAACTAAAATCTAATTGAATTTAAAGTCCTAAATATTATGAAAGAAACTTAAATTACAATTTTATCTCATAAAAATCTATTTTTAAAGGGTAAAAAAGGCAAACGGCATTTCGCTAAGGTCCTTCGTGCTTTTAATATAATATAGATATAGATTGGAATCAATCTCAAAATAATATTTATAAATTCAAGAACAGTAAAACTTTAATTTAGTTATTAATTTGACAAAAAAAATTTAACCCTCTAAAGTGGAAGGAAAAATAAAATTGATTCTTATTCCTCTGAAAATATATCCTTCTTTTAATAGTTGGCAATTGGTGTCATGTCAAAGAAACAAAAATGAAATGACACTAAATTAAGGGGGAAAAACAAATTAAAGAATGATTTAAAGTCAAAATTGCCGCTTACTTTTCTGAAAATTTTCATAATAGCATAATATGTTAAATAAAAGCCTCATAAAATGACAAATTTGCCCCACACCCTTTTTGAAATATTCAAAAAAGAATTGATAGCACAATATTTTAAATAAAAACCTCATAAACAAATTTGCACCCACACTCTTTTTGAAATATTCAGAAAAGAATTGATAGCACAATATTTTAAATAAAAACATTATAAAATGACAAATTTGTCCCCACACAACAACAACAACCAACCCCGTTATCTCTATAAATGAAGTCTGGAGAGCGTAATGTGTACGTAGACCTTACCCTACCTTGTAAAGATAGGGAGAAGGTTTCCGATAGAATTCGGATAAATTTGTCTCCACACCCTTTTTGAAATATTTAGAAAAGAATTGATGGAACAATATATTATTCTCTATGAGGAATGCGTGTGCTTCCTCTATATAAGATGGTTCTGTTGGCTACTAGTATTAGGACTTCAATTCAACCAAAATTTTAAAAAAGGAGAAAGAGAGGAGGGAGGATTACTGGTAGTAGTACTTTATTGTTTATAGCATTAGAGTATATTATTATTATTATTGTTTTAATTATAATAATAATAATAATGACAGTATTGGACAGTTGAAGAATAAGGGAAAGAGAAAGAACATAGGAAATGGAGAAGAGAAAATGAAGAAGAAGCTCTCTCTCTCTCTCTCTCTCTCTTCTTGTGTTATCATAACTTTCTTGTTTTTTCACTCTCTTTTCTCTCTCTAGACCTGTAAAAATCAAGTTTTTTCCCATTTTCAATCTCTCTGCTGCTGCTGCTGCTGTTGTTGGTGAGGACTTATACAAAGACACAAGCTTTGTTCTTTGTTATTATTAGCTGAATATTTGGGGAGAAATGCTTTACTTTAACTTCCCTCATGCGTTTAATATCATTGTTATGTATTTTACTTGGAGTATCTGTTACTTTGGATGATTAGTTTTTTTTTTTTTTTTTTTTTTTTTTTTTTTTTTTTTTTTTTTTTTTTGCTTTGTTATTTTTCTGTTCTTTTTTTCCTTTCTTGTTTTTTCAAACTGAATATGAGAAAAATGGGTTTTATGTATGTATAGTTGAAGATTGAGTTTGTTTTGGATTTTGGAAAATGATTTTTCGTGAAGACCAGTAGACCCCTTTTGACCTTTTCTTTAATCTGTTACTTAGTGGGGAAAGTTTTTATTTTTATTTTTAATTCTTTTATTGGCTTTATTTCCTTGCTTCTTGCTGAAGAATTCCTTGTTGGTAATTAATGTCTTTTTATTTTTATTTTTTTGTTATTGAAGTATAATTGTTTGCTTTTAAAAGGAGTTGGTTTTGTTTGAAGCATCTTGTTTTGAAGAGTTCTCTTCAGTAATGATCAAAAAGAAAAAGGAAAGGGAAAATTTTGATTCTTGAATAGATTTTCTCCTTTTCTTTGTCAGAGAGTGAAATTTGTAATTGAGAGAAGTAGCATGTGGATTTTACAGTAGGTTGCCTAAGGCATAGTCTTTCTCCTTCCTTTTTCTATTTTTCCATTTTGGTAAAGAATATTATTTATTGGTTGCCATTAGTTTCTGTGATATGTGCCTTTTCTCTATTTTCTTGAGAGTCAGAAAATAAGGGGAACCTTCGAGCAATGGTCAATTACGGTTTCGAGCCGTGAAAGCAGCCACCAATACTTGTATTAGGGTAGGCTGTCTACAGCATACCCCTGCTCTTCCTCGGAGCGTAACCGTGGTATTCCTTGTGCACCGAATTGTCTTGAGAGTCAGAAAATAGGATGAACCTTTAAAATTTATTGTTTCCTCACCTAGCAAAAGAGGTACCTTTCATCTTCCCTCCGGTGTACAGTTGCTGGGAAATGTATTATTGTTTATGAATCTCTAGGATTTTGTTTTTGGTTAGAGCTTAATGATTAGTGTCGTTGTCTTGACTGTAGCATTTTCTGTTGACCAAGTATGGTGTAATTTGTATAGTGCTTTTTCAAAATCTGTCAAAAAATGTAATAGCTGAAATCTGTGAATCTGCCACTAGAGTTAACTTTCTATCTTGTCTGAGAGATTGTAGTTCTCGTGATTCTTATTTTATTTGCCTATTGAATTGCATTAGCAGAAGGCTGGATTTTTCTCTAATTAGCTTTGGATTGATCATACAAGACTGTGCTTGGTAAAATATGTTTTGTTTCTAATGCTCGGTTTCTTTTTTTTTTTTTAGTGGATCCAGAGATGAAAGTATGTGCTGTCGACTGCAGCCGTTGAAAAGCATTTTTTATTCAACTGTAGCATCGGCTTTTGTATTAGTTGGATCACTACCATGAACATGAATAATCTGACTGTTGAAACTGAGGATTCTTTTGTTAGCTTGCTTGAACTAGCCGCTAACAATGACATAGTAGCGTTTAAGAGATGGATAGAGCATGATCTATCCGGTATTCATGAGGTTGGACTGTGGTATGGGCGCCAAAAGGGCTCAAGGCAAATGGTCTTGGAGCATAGAACTCCTTTGTTGGTTGCTGCTACGTATGGCAGTATCGATGTTCTGAAACTGATTCTGTCTTTACCTGAAATTGATGTGAATCAATCATGTGGCCGAGATAAGAGCACTGCTCTTCACTGTGCTGCATCTGGTGGGTCTCCGAACGCTGTTGATGCTGTCAAGATGCTTTTAGAAGCCGGTGCTGATCCAAACTCTGAAGATGCCAATGGCCATCGCCCTGGGGATGTCATTGTTGTATCTCCAAAGTTTCACTTGACAGAATCATCCCTGGAGAGCCTTCTTAAAAGTGATACAACGGGGAAGTGTAGCCTGAGATTGTCAATAGCCACTTCGAACTCAAATTCTCCACCACTTTCGCCTTCCCCTGGAAATAGATCACCTTCTTCTACTTCAGACTCAACTTCTTCCCCAAAGAGTGCAAAGTCCGATGACCTCCCTGTATCTTCTGCATCTGAGAAGAAAGAGTACCCCATTGACCCCTCCTTGCCTGACATTAAAAACAGCATCTACTCTACAGATGAATTCAGAATGTTCTCGTTTAAGATCAGACCTTGCTCTCGTGCATATTCTCATGATTGGACTGAATGCCCATTTGTCCATCCTGGTGAAAATGCTCGAAGAAGGGATCCAAGAAAATATCACTACAGCTGTGTACCTTGCCCTGAGTTCCGGAAGGGAGCTTGCCAACGAGGGGACATGTGCGAATATGCTCACGGGGTTTTTGAGTGTTGGCTGCATCCTGCTCAGTACAGAACCCGACTTTGCAAAGATGGTACAAAGTGCAATAGAAGAGTTTGCTTCTTTGCCCACACACAGGAAGAACTCAGACCCCTGTATGTCTCTACTGGTTCCGCTGTTCCCTCACCTCGCTCGAACACCTCTGCTGCCAATGCCATGGATTTTGCAGCAGCTATGGGCCTTATTCCAGGTTCTCCTTCGTCGGTCCGTGTCATGTCCCCATTACCTTTCACTCCTCCGATGTCTCCCTCTGCTAACGGCGTCTCAAACATGAGTTGGCCTCAACCAAATGTTCCAGCATTGCATCTTCCTGGCAGCAATTTCCAGTCCAGTCGCTTGAGGTCATCACTACATGCAAGAGACATCCGTGCTGTAGACTTTAACTTTGATATGCAACAACAACAGCAATTTATAAATGAATTCTCCTGCCTATCACAGTCCAGTGTGAATGCTAATTCTTTGAACCGTTTAGCTCATCCTAAGACCCTAACTCCTTCAAATCTTGAGGATTTATTTTCCGCAGAGAGCTCATCTCCTAGATATTCTGATCAGGCATTAGCTCAAGCAGTTTTCTCCCCTACTCACAAGTCTGCAGTTGTCAATCAATTCCAGCAGCAGCAGCAGAGCATGTTATCTCCCATTAATACAAAATTTTCACCAATAAATGTTGATAATCCTCTGTTGCAGGCTTCTTTCGGGGTTCAAACACCGGGAAGGATGTCACCCCGAGGAATGGAGCCAATATCACCTATGAGTTCCCGTGTGTCTACGCTTTCTCAACATGAGAAGCAGCAGCAATTTAGGAGTCTTAGCTCTCGCGATCTTGGCTCCAATGCTTCTGCTGTTATTGGATCTCCAGTAGATACTTGGTCGAAGTGGGGTTCCTCTACTGGAAACGCAGATTGGGCTGTCAATACTGAGGAGTTTGGTAGACTAAAGAGATCATCGTCATTTGAGCTTGCTAACAACGGAGAAGAGCCTGATCTGTCGTGGGTTCAATCTCTCGTCAAAGAATCACCACAGGAGTTGAAAGACAAAACTGCATCTCGTGTCTTAGGTCTCGCAGGCTCTACTGCAGATCTCGCTGAAGATTCTACTTCGAAATGGAGCAAATGAAGCTTGATAAGCTAATGGCTCAGTAAAAATATCCTCATTTTCATTTTGCCGGGCCTTGGCGTTTTCATAACATAAACTTTTGGTAAAGAGTAACCTTTTTACATTGAAGGGGAGCCTTGGAGCAACGGTAAAGTTGTCTCCGTGTGATTTATAGGTCACGGGTTCGAGCTGTGGAAGCAGCCACTAATGCTACATTAGGGTAGATTGTCTACATCACACCCCTTTGGAGTGCGGCCCTTCCCCGGAACCTGTATGAACGCGGGATGCCCTTTTACATTCTTATGGTTTCTTTATGCTGGCTTCTGAGCAGGGCAACTGTAAGCAGAGAAGAAGCCAGCAAAGGAGCTCCAAAATTCTGAAAGATATTAATTTTTCTTTATTATTTAAATTTATTATTATAACAGACAGTAGAAGAATGGGTTATTGAGAAATGAGACCCAGTGCAGGTGATGTTTCTTCAAATATTATTGTGTAGTCTCTTAGTTACAAAAGTTATTACCTTTATTTCATTAGACTGATATTTCATTGTACTGAAAAAGGGATTGTCAGCCTTTGTGACAATTCAGCATTGATATGAAGTTATTTCATTTTCAATTTTATTTATATTTTCTGAGTTTTGGTACCTCCCTTGTTTTAATTATGGAGAAGAAACAGAGATAGAAAGGTAATTAAAGATATCATTCTGCTGCAAAATAGGTTTTCTTCTTAACACTGATGTTGCGAAGCAGGGGCGGATTTAGGCTGTTTTTACCATGCATGTGAACCCATGGTGTGTTCGCCAAACTAGGTATTTTATGTATATATTTTTTTTTAAATTGATCTAATATTTGTTGTTTCCAATGCTTAAAAAAGGTTGAATAATGTACTTGATTGAATATTGAGTTAAGGAACACAGATCGGTTCCCACTTAATTATTCTTTTTCTTTACTTTTTCCGTGGTGCATCCATAATCTGATGTAGATAAGAATAACCATCTGATGTAACATGAAGTTCAAAGTAATTGGAATTGGAATCCATATCCCTTGATGTGATTTTGTTCTATCCTTAAAATATACCTTATCATTCTTTGTGTTTCCAACAACATGATGTAGATATATACCAGTGGTCTTGGATTGCGCTTCAAGTATGGTCTCGTAGTCAATGAAGTGAGTACAATCTTGAATATTTTAGGTGATTTTTTGGCATCTACCTAAACTTTAGTGGATGGAGTTATCTGGAGCACAAAATATATCTAATGATATAATTGAGGTGCGCGCAAGATGACTTGGACACTATCATTATAAAAAGAAATTATATACTCCCTCCGGTCCACTTTAATTGTTGATTTTTTATGTGGTTCACAATATTTGATTATTTCAGATGTCAAGAAGGAATTAACTTCTTTTTTCCAAAGTTACACTTGGAGTAAAAAGTTGGTGAATATTTGTCATATTTTCAATGAACAAATTAAGGTTAATATGGTCAATTTAATTATTTATTAATGTTAAAAGGTATATTTTTTTAATGTGTAAAACAATTAAAAATTACTCCCTCCGGTTCACAATAAATGACCAATTTGCTTTGGGCACACTCATTAAGTAAATACTAAATTTTAGACAAAAATAGTTAGTGTGACTAAACTACCCTTAATTAAATGCTGCAGCATAATTTAATGTGACGAGTAAAAGACTTTTTAGGGATACATACATAAGAATAATTTTGGAAAAATAAATTGAATATTTTCTTGATTATATAAATGGTCACTTATTTTAGATCAAAATAAAAAAAAAACTGATCACTTATTATGAATCAGACATATTTACAAGGCATGGGAATCCTGAGTTTGTGGAGGATTTCAAATCCCAAAAGTTGGATCTGCGGTTTGTGGAGGATGTGGACATGAAGAAGGGGATAGGGAGAATGGCTTTTACTGATTTGGAATTCTACTAATCCTTCTTGGGATTGGATGCTTTTTGTAATTTTTTTTAATGCTTTGGGAATAATGAATCCTTATATTCTAAGGGATAATGATGATAGTGGAGCTTCTTGGTAATAAATACTGATGTTTCATTAGATGCTGTGAAACTTTTTATTTGCATGTGGACTTTAATATAAAGAATATGTGAAGTCATTGGTAAACATTAAACTCTCTTAAACTAGGAACTTTTTTATTTTTATTATTTTGGTGGGGGCGGGGGGAGGGGTTGGGTTAAGGGTTCCAAAAGCTGATTATATAGCTCTATTCATGTCATTCAGAAGGATGGACCCCACTACTGTATGTGAGTATTTTCTGAGGTTAAATTTAATTTTCATTTTTTCCATCTCCTTGTTGGAGAATAATGCTTAGTAGACAAGTATTTGATGCATATTGTTGGGGATTTGTCGCGGTACCTTATATTTGTGCCACCTTTTAATCTGTACCATATTTTTAAAAATTATTGATTTGGTAGTCAGCTGACAAAAAATCTGTAATAATATGATAACTACACTCTTGACAAAAGATATAAAACCTGCATCACGCATTAATCGCGTGATCTGCAATCTCATTTGTGGAAAAAGACCTCCCCCTCTCCTCTCAGCAGCTTTATCAAAAAATTAGAAACTTATCTAGATTCATCTTCAGAATCACACTTGCATGGAGTTGTTTCACGTTGAAGCTAAAACTTCATGCTAATGCAGCATGAAGTTGTTTCCTGCTAATACAACATGAAGTTGTTTCACATTGAAGCTAAAACTTCATGCTAATGCATGTTGAAGTTATATATCCTGCAGTCTACAGTTTTGTCATGAGTTTTATCTGAAACTTCAGTCTAGACATGCTGAAGTTATTTAGTTCATTTACTAAAACTTCAGACGAAACATGCTTAAGTTTTTGTCTTGCAGTATGTAATTTTCTAAAGAGTTTTTGCTAATGCATGCTAAAGTTATTTAGTTCATTTGCTAAAACTTCATACCAGAGCATGATGAAGTTTTGTAATGCAGTTTACAGTTTTGTCCTGAGTTTTATCCGAAACTTCAGTCTAAACAAGCTGAAGTTTTTTAGTTCATTTGCTAAAATTTCAGCCTAAACATGATTAAGTTTTTGTCCTGCAGTTTGTCAATAGTCTTTTATTAAAGAAGGGTAAAATCGTCCTTTTAAAACGCTTTTAACAAAAAAATAAGTACAAATACAAAAAAAAAATAGGTATAAATTAAAAGGGGACGACCAAATAGAGCGCTCTATGCAATTTTTACCATATTGTTTGAGGTTCAACTCTTACTCAGACAGCCATTTGTTAGCCGTACTAGTTACTACTTTCGATCAATGTTATCTGTCATTTAAAATTTTGCATAACTCTTAAAAGAATATTTAATAGGCTTACTCATAAGATTATCTGTTATTGCTTGTATTTTTTTTTTCTTGAGTCGAAGGTTTATCGAAACAACTTCTTTGCCTTCCTAGGGTAAGAGTAATGTCTGCATATACAGTACCCTCCTCACACCCTATTTGTGAAATTTCACTGAATTTTTTGTTGTTGATGTTGTTGTGTCACGACCCAGTTTTTCACCCTCGGGAGTCGTGATGGCACCTACTAGTGAAAGCTAGGCAAGCCAACCAACTGAACTATTTACCTTGTTTCCATTTTTTTTCCGATAACAGTTAAGAGCCAACAATTAAATAACAACAGAATTGGATTACGCGGAAGGCTGCATTGTAAAGTTTTAATAATACTGCTAATACCAATCCATAACAAATCTACCCAAGACTGGTATCACAACTTCACAGACTGTCTAGGAGTACTACAAATAAAGCTCTAAAAGAAATAAATACAATACTGTCTCTGGAAATAGATGAAGGAAACATGAATAGTAGATAAAAGGAGACGCCAAGGCCTGCGGACTCCTGCAAGACTACCTCGGGTCGCTTGATGAACAAGAAACAACAATCTTACTGCGGTCCGAAGTTTACAACACTGGGATCTGCACAAAAGAGTGCAGAGTATAGTATCAGCACAACCGACCCCATGTGCTGGTAAGTGCCTAGCCTAACCTCGGCGAAGTAGTGACGAGGCTAGGACCAGACTACCAAATCAACATGTGCAAAATAACGTACAAAAATAATAGGAAGTAGATAACAAATATGACAACAATGATCAACCAATGATATAAAAAGCAGGCAACAAGAACACCATAAATGTTTCTCAACAAATAATAGATACAAGTGCAATCAATTAATCAAGTCCTTCAATATAAATCTTTCGCCTATAAATCCTTCAAGTAATAATCTCTAAGATAATATGCTTTTCAATGATATATTTCGAATATATTTCCTTTAAATAAATATCTTTCAAATAAGCATCTTTCGAATATAATTCTTTTGAGTAAAGGTCATCTTGTGACGCCTCATTTCATAATCATAAATAATATAGGTCTCAGCCCACTTTTATATTTTCACGGCATCTCGTGCCCATATTTGTATCACAACCGCACGGACAACTCAAGTGCCATTAAATAAAACCATAATATTTTCCCCGGCACCTTATGCCCACATATTTCTATCTCACCTTGCACAACAATATTCTCATGTTACTCAGTTCATAGGTTCCATAACCCAATACAATTAAGAATATTCAAGGAGCCTCATTCACTTAACATAAAGTAGAGTACAACTTCCAACCCAATTAGGAAATCAACAAGAAAAAATGAAGTTATTTTTAGAAATCATTTGACAAAGAAAATACCCTTTTCAATTAAAGTACAATAACGAATGAATCATTACCTTTAATACGAGAAATCAATAAATCAAAACATAGTAGAAATTCCTTTTTAAGTAAAGTACAACCTCAAACGGTTTAAGAAAAATTTAGTTGAGAAATCAATTGAGTCAAAAATGTAACAATTGTTGAAATTTGGAGTATTGAACATAAAAAAAAATAAGGTGAGGTATTGTAAACACTATGGATTCCAACACAAAGGATCACAACAGTAAAGAGATCTAAACAGTTAATACACTTGAATTGTTAATAATAAGTAAAGATAGGAGGGGGAAACATGCTTCGAGGAATAAAAGGTAAACACAGAATATCAAGAGAATTATAAAGGAATCAAAATCAAACCACTAACAAGAATAAGGAAAATAAAGGCAGATTTCACTTTCTTTTCACATCTTGTTGCAAGCGTGCAACCCGATCCCATTTCC